GGCGGATATGCGACGGTATTTAAAGCTAAAGAAAATATAACAAATCAAACAGTTGCCCTTAAATCAATTCATAACTCAAATATACTCGATTTACACGGTTTTATTAAGGAGGTAAAGGCTATTTATTTGTTTACTTGTATTTATTTGTAAATTAATTTATTTTTATATTACTTTTTTTTAGTTGAGGGCATATTGCGATATTGGATATGAAAATCCCTCGTTCTTAAGATGCTACGGAATGTCACAAAACGAAATCACAAAAGATTATGTTCTCGTCTTAGAATATGCTGAAATGGGTTCTTTACGTAAAAACCTTCTCACAGTATCACAGATGAAATGGCTGGATAAATTAAATTTATTGTATCGTATTGCTTATAATCTTCGAATAATTCATTCCCAAAAACTTATTCATCGAGATTTACATAGTGGCAATATTTTATTATTTTCTTTATATAATGCTTACATTGCAGATTTAGGACTTTTAATACCATATAACACAAAACAAGATTATGAAATCTATGGGATCATACCATACATAGCTCCAGAAGTTTTATCGCATCAAAAGCCTACACAGGCATCAGATATCTATTCATTTGGAATCATCATGATAGAAATAGGAACAGGACAAAGGGCTTTTGATGGGGATAAATTTGATGATGAATTGGCAGTAAAAATTTGCCAAGGGGAACGACCTAAATTTAGTTTAGATAATGCTGCTCTTTACTTTCATTTAGTTAATAATTGTGTGCATTCAGATCCAAGCAGACGACCTAATATTGATATGATTATTTCTAAAATCGATGAATGGATTGAAGCTTTAAGAACTCCATTTGGGTATGATCGGGAGACAGAAGATCCATATTTTAGGAATATTAGAGAAGGATTTCAGAATGCTGATAAAATTAACATTCCAATCGCCGAACAAAAACACCCTGATCACATGTACACTTCAAAGCCGATTAACACGCAAGAGATTATGAATACGTTTTCAAAAATGACCGGTAGCGCGCCAATTAATAGCGTGAAGTTTTCTGATTTTACATAGACCTTTTTTATACTAAGGAATCGTGAAGCATTAGGAACCGGAGCGTAACACAGTTTTATCCAATCAGAGATATATCACATGCTAGATATCTGGACATGTTTGTCTAGTTGTAACTTTTATCCAATCATAAATTAGTAAATAAGATAGTTGCTCGACGCAGTCACGCTAGAAATCAGGAATGAAAGTATATAGAGTTTTATTATTCACATAAGATCTAACAAATTGTTATAATATCAATAAATTGTAATATCAAAACTAGGCATGCGCCTGTCAATGTGCTGGGTGTTTTTTTTTTTAGATAACTCTGCTTTTGTAATTTAGAATCATCGAATCATCGAATAATAAAGTGAAAATGACCAGATTCGGAACTTAATTCTTAAAGGTTTTTTTGATGCAATAGAAACGTATCTTCTTCACATCACAATTGATTGTGGAATAATTATTATCATTCGAATGATCAATGGGATTCGGAATTTTACAAACTGCAATAATTGTTCAATAAATTGCTAACATGAGTATGAAGTTTAATTCTGTTACTATAATAATTATTTCAAGAGGATGTATGATTAACTGTAATTGTTCAATAAATTACCAACATGAGTATGAAGTTCTGTTCACTTTAACGATTGTGTTTCAAGAAAATATATGATTAAGGGTGTTCTCAAACGCCTTAATCAATGGGGTAAAAAGCGTCGGGAAATAAAATTTATTTAGCGGAAAATAGTTTAAATTAATCAAGCGTG